CCTGGCCACAAGAACAAAACAACACCAGCTAAAAGATAGATGCTGTGATGGATAAGAAGGTCGAGCAGAGATCAAATATTTCTTTCTCGAATGACCGAAAGATGAGTCAGGATATGAAAAAGAAAACAAACACACACACACACAAATATTTGTGAAGGGCAAAAGGCACGCAACAGATGTAATATCCTTTGTTGCACTGTGAACCTTATCCAAACGATATGGAAGACGTTAGGAATTTACTTTTATTGCAATTCCAGAATTTAATCTATAGATTTTTCGTTTTGTGTGGGTGAAATATCTTACAAATAGAGTATTATGTGTGTGTGTGTGTATAGGAAATATTTTGACAAAATCAATAAATATTTCAGGAACCAAATTGCCCTTTGGGTATATAGGAAAGTATGCAGTCAATAAATGAGTGGACATAGTTAAAAAGAAACCAATAAGGAAATAAGTTAAATTGTAAAAAGCATTATGAAGCGCCATAACACTAAGTATTAAAATGGAATCTCATCCATTTCAATTCAATTTGCCATTGAGCAGAAGCTGTGCAAAATTTCATAGCATTGAAAATTAAATTCAGATTGTTGTTATTTATGTATCTGTTAGTACGGACCCGTGATACTAAGAAGATGTTTTCCATCTGTATCATACACTCAATTTTTTCTGGTAACCGAACTATGGTATTGTGTTTCAACCGTGTTTCTCTGTGGGCTTGGAGACATCAGTTCTTGTAGCAGCCGTCGACAAAATATTCTAATATTCCATGACAACTATATTCATAAAAAGTAAGCTTGTACCATCCACCATAAAGTACTCTAGTCAGAAGAAAAAGAAAATTAATTAAACTAAAGACTCTCCAGTTGCAGTCCAGTTATTGCCTTGAACATACATATATACCGAAATCCTTAAAATACCGCAAATTGCGGGTACTGTTATATGGGCGTTATTTCAACACCAGGACATATTACCTGGTGTTGGTACCTGAGAACCCAAAGTCGGGTGAGCAACGTTCCATAAACAACGAATAGCATTTACATTAGGCATACACCGAAACATTAATACTTATTGGACCAACATTAATACATCGAGCCATATTCGCCAAAAAACGTAAACCTCAAATTTGAAATTTTACAGTAGAAGGTTTTATGTTGATATGTTTTGTAAACTTTTTTAGAAAACCGAACCTAAAATGGACTTAAAACACTTTCAAAAAAACGACATATATAATTCTTCGGAGGAACACATTTGAGTGCATATATTGATAAAAAAACAAGTAGGGAAATAGTTTCCATATTAATGAAATATTTACATTTAAAAAAATAAAATTGGATCGATAGACATGTCATTCTGCAACCCATACTAAATGTTTCATTTTGTCAGATATAGAGTAAATCATGTAAATCAATTTAAAGCAAATATCAAACGGATAAATATCTGATAAACCTCCTCATGTTTATGTTTAGGGCACCATTTACTTAAAATCGGGAGAAAATGCAAATTTGAACCGATTTCAACAAAACTTTCCATATGCTAGATTATATTAACTACAGTTCATTGTACAAAATTGTGTGGTATTCGGACAAACTTACATAAAATTGGAAGAAAAAATATGTCGGAGCTATGTCTAAATCTGAACCGAATCTTAGCACACATCATTCTAGACTTAATTCAGTACACTATGACAAATTTCGTGCAAATCGAAAGATATATAGGGACTTTTGTGCACCATTTTACATTAAATCGGACGAAAATATATATGGGAGCTATATCTAAATCATCATTCTAGACCTAATATTACGCTGTGCCAAATTTCGTGCAAATCGAAAGATATATAGGGACTTTGGTGCACCAGTTACATTAAATCGGACGAAAATATATATGGGAGCTATATCTAAATCTGAACCGATTTTTTCCAATTTCAATAGGGTTCGTCCTTGGACCAAATAAGTGACATCGACAGACAGACGGACGGACGGATGGACGGACATGCATAAATCGAAAGTGATTAGAAAGTGATTCTATGCATATTCTCAAAGGGAACCATGTTCCTATCTCGTTTTCTTTTGCCTGTTACAAACATATGCACAAAGACATAATACCCTGTACCACAGTGTGATGAAGGGTATAAAAAGATTTCCAAGTGCGTCGGTATTATGCGCATCTCCTCCAATTTGAAAGACCACGTTCCAAGATGTTGTTTTCTACCTGGTCTTTCCATCTGATTCGTGGCCTTCCCCTTCTACGGGAACCATCAGTAAGCTCGCTTTTATATGCCTTTTGAGCTGGGTCATTCTTATTCATTCACAGAACATGGCCTAGTCATCGTAGTCGCTGCAGCTCAATACGACTGACAATGTCGATGTCCGCGTATAAATTTTAAAGCTCGTGGTTCATTCGACGCCGATATTCACCGTCGACGCAGATCGGCCTTTAGATTTTTCGGTGAATTTTTCTTTCAAACAGCCCAAGAACTGCCTCATCTGCTTGCGCAAGTACCCATGCTTCAGATCCATATAACAGCACGGGTAGTATCAGTGTCTTGTAAAGTGTGTGTTTGGTCTGGCGGGAGGTGGCCTTGTTTCTAAAAAGCTTACTTAGACCATAGTAGCATCGTTTGGCCATCACAAACTGATGTCATTCGTTTTATTTATGGCGGTACCAAGCTATAGAATCTTTAACTACCTCGCAGCTGTAGTTCTCAAGATCCACAGTTGGTCCGAGCCTACTAGATGTCTTGTGCGTTGATGCCATCAGACTCCTTTGGCAGACTCGTTCTCAATTTTTTCAAAGGTGGCTGTTACCGCATGCAATGTTCGACCCATTATATCGATGTCATCGGCGTAGGCGAGTAACATGTGTTGTTTGGTGTACACAGTGCCATTTCTGTTCACCTTTGGGTCTCGTGCGATCTTTTCCAGGAGGATGTTAAAAAGATCACGCGACAAACTGTCACCTTATCTGAATCCTCGTTCGGTATTGAAGGGCTCCGATCCGACATTTTCCGACATTAACTGCTGACTTTGTGCTACTTAAAGTTATCCTGCATAGCCGTATAAATTTTGCAGGAATGGCTTTAAAAACCTCTGAATGGATAGCTCTGTCAATGCGGCTTTATAGTCGACGAATAGGTGGTATGTGCCGATGTGTTTTTCGTGGGTCTTTTCCAAGATTTGGCGCAGAGTGAAAATCTGGTCAATGGTGGATTTGTCAGGTCTGCAGCCGCATTGGTATGGTCCAATAATGTCATTGACCGTAGGCTTCAATCGTTCACACAGCACACTGGACAGCACTTTATATGCGATGGAAAAAGGCTAATTCCTCAACAGTTGTCACATATCGTCTTGTCTCCTTGTTTTGTGCACTGGACACAGGATGCTGAGGTTCCAATCATTAGACATGCAGCCAAATTTTACTAATCGGCTGGTGCATGCTCCTGACCAGCATCTGACCACCAGTCTTGAATAGTTAGGCTGGTAACCCGTCAGTTCCTGCTGATTTCTTGTTTTTGAGCCAATTAATTGCTTTTATGACCTCATCTTGGCTAGGCGGTAAAATGCATAGTCCTTGAAAATAATTATCCTGTGGACTTAATTTGTCTAGAAAAGTTATGTAACAAATTCACTCTCGCGAATATGAATCTTTCGAACTTGATAGTTCGAATCCATTCCTTTCTTAAAAAATTGAAATTTGTTGATCTAGAGAAATATGCATTAAAAGCCGTGCTTGATACAATGAGACATATTCTTCTTCGTGGCAACTTCTTCGCAAACTTGGGGCTGTAAACCGCCCATCATCTAATGGATTCAAACATCATAGCTGTCCATTATATCCCAGCTGATTCCGACAAACCGTTCACACGAAGAATCAACACCGAATCAAAGGTCTCACGTAGTCCTACCACTGTAAATAATTCATTCTCCGCTTCGGAAATTAACTAACATGAAAAATGGTACAGCATCAGAGGTGGATTGCATTTACATAGAGTTCATTAAGCATTGTGGTCGTAGTACTAAAAATGACTTACTCAGGTCATATCCAGGGCCCTTTTAAGAAATTAATCAAAAATTTTCATAGAAAATGGTTTCGACCATATAGAAATAACAACGGTTTCTTCCTCGATCTGACGGATACCACGAACTGATACCAGACTGATATCCAAACTATCGATTTCAGTACCGCAGGAAAACTGAATTCGATCTACCAGGCAAACCATTATGAATCTTAAATCGCCTCCGCTCTTCCATTGGCCGAACAATGGAAAACCTACACAGATGAGGTCCCGCCTACGAGGCCAGTGCGGTACACATACCCAGTTGATCGACCACATAATTTATAACTGCTCTCTGCTATCTTTTCCAGGAAATTTGGGGAAGTACAAAACCTTTCATCAGGCGGAATATCCTAGTCAAAGGTATTGAACCTGCATGTACATAAAACTAACTAAATAAAAATTATTCTTAAAATCCACATTATTTGAGATGGTAGTAATAAAAATGTAAAATATATTGAAAACCAAATAGTTCTATATTTCTTAACAAATCTAAATAAATCCTTTTCCGATTTGAACCAACATTAACCGAATGTAATTTTAACCTATATCTAAATAGCTAAGCAAATAAAAAATGCAAATAATAATAAAAATATTATCTTACGGGGAATAATATTATATTATCTCACGGGGAATGCACGCTAAGTGCTCTAAACGTTGTTGGTCCTGAAATATTTTTTACCTCCCATCTTTATATAAAATAACGTGCAACCCACATTGACCATGGCTGGAAAAACTAAGTGAATATATACATATTTACGTATTCACAGTCCACAATAATGAGTTTCAACTTTTTTCTTTATTTCAACACAAAATCCAATTACTTAAATATGACCAGCATCAAGAGTACAATTTAACGAACTACTACAAACAACAACAAAAAACCTAATTAAAATTAACATCTAATTATTCTAACTAATTTAACATTTTGTTGCGCTTTCATTTACAGCAAGAAAAATACGAAACGGAACGCCCAGAGTGCGACCATAAAACTGTCACGACAACATCTGTGCTAATGAATGACAAAATAAGGCGCATACATTTGAAACACTTACAAATCGTTCGTTCTATGAATGCCAACCAACTGTTGAATGGACCACTGTTGAATCCGATGCAACTACAACACCAACAACAATAGCAGAAGGACATTTTGCTTCCTTTTTCCGACAAACGTGTCACTAGACTATCGCCAAGCCCCGCAGGAGAAGATTGCATAAACGGCGATTGTGGTTGTAATCGTTGTTGCAGTTTAATCCCTTTAGATAGTCACCATGAATGTCACTGAGCTCAAGTGTTGGGATTATTGTATTTGAGCACCGTTTCCGCACTCGGTGCTGTCTCCGTACATTACACAACGTTTGGCAATGAATTGGATTTGTACGTGGCCGCATTTTTTGCTGCCTCTCTCGGTGACACTGAATAGCAACAAAATGTGAAAACCAACAACAATGACAAAAAACTATGTAAATTGTGAAAAGCCAATTCGCTTTAAATCGTGAATAGAAAACATTAGCAACAGCAGTATTCACTCATAATAGCAGAATCAAATGAAATTATTTACGACAAAGCGAAGCGAGCAAATATCAAAAACCTCGTATACCAATAACGACAACAACAGCAGCAACCACAACAACAACATTGAAAGTCGTTTCCTTGAGCCATAGCTCTGTGACAGCTATTCTTCAGCCATCAATGACATGCCCAACAATCTAATAAGGATTTTATTATCGTCTAAAGCGTTTCAATAGAATTGCGCTGTTTTGTGCAAAACACCAGCGACGTTGTTACGTTGGGCGCCATATGCAGCATGGGGGCAGCAAATTCATCAAATCGTTCAGATAATAGTCTCTATAATGATGATGATGGTAAGTACGAATAGCATAGAATAGACAAAGAACATTGTAATACATACATAGATACATAGAAAGAGGGACGTTTTATAAATGGATATTGAATGGAAATTTATTCCCAAAGTAGACAAGTAGCAACTTGTAAGATATTGTATACAATAGTTGTTGTTTTATGATTATTTAAAATCTATGTGTGCCTGAGGAGAGATTCTACTGTAGTTCAAATGTATTTACTTGTACACCATTCCGAATATCAAATTTAATAGAAATTACGTATATTTTTGTTGAATTTCAATATTAGTGATATGGAAATAGTCAAATGATAGTGTTCTATTTTGGCCGTATTTGAATATAATGTAATTTTCAAAATGTAGATCCTTTGTGGAGGATGCACAGAAGAATGAGTGGAGACATCTTCGTATTTTGCGTAATATGCACGTGTAAAGCTTAGATCAAATCCGATATTCCATTACCCTCATATAAGATATCCAAATATACTTTGCACGGGAGATACCAGAAAGAGTGGATCGATGGGTCTCGTATTCAAACATGATCTAGTTAAACGACTAGATGCGTGAAAATAGTACTAAATGTTTGAATTAACTCAATTTCTCTTCATAAGGTACATTAAATATTTTGTAATGTTGACCCTTTGTGGTGAAGGTAGCAGAAGGAAGAACCGATAGAATTTATTTTCGGAAAAGATATAAATTTTGTTACCATTTCATTTATGGGGCGTGTACACCAAAAATTGTACACACTGATGGACGGACATCTCGAAGCAAACTCAAAAGTCTAAATTATCTATACTAATAAAAGAGTAAAGTGATTGACTGGCTGACTGATTTAACGATTCATCAACGCCGAGACGAAACGGCTAAACTAGAATCATGAAATTTTGGGTGAGGGTCACTCTTAGTCTAAAGGTGACAGAACGGTACGAAAAGTACTAAATGTGAAACCATTTGTATTTGGCGAACCGGTAGAGCTAGAACTCTTAAATTTTAAATGAGGTTCACTGATGGAGTGTAGAATAGATATAACAAAGGGGTTTTTGAACATTCGAACTATAAGTGTGCGAAAAGTACTAAAATGTACAAAATTTGGTACAATTTCGTAGCATGTGAATGGATAGAGCTAAAAAGTTGAAATTTGGAATTCGAATTAGGGGTTGAGATGTAGGGTCTAATTAAGGAGATGATTTGGAAAGCGTGTACTCATGTGTACGAAAAATACTATATGGTACTATATGTGGTACAAATTTCATTTAGAGATACAAATCGAGGTGTAATTCTCAAATTTGAAATTAACATTACCATTGGAGTTTAGGATTGGACTAGGATGCTTATGTGTACGAAAAGGACTAAATCGTATTATAATTGGTACAATTTGGATTTGGGTGAACCGATAGAGCGGAAACAATGAAATTTGGAGTTAGGATCATTGTAGGGGTGTAGGATTAGGGTCAGGATTCAGTTTAACAAATTAATACTTATGGGTACTAAATGGTACTAAATTTGGGTACTAGGTGAACCAATAGAGCTATAATCATGAAATTTGGAGTCAGGGTCACTATTGAGGTGTAAGATTTAAATATGTAGGAAGTCAGTAGTGTTGGCGGTTTATTTGGGATACCATTTGTATTTTGTTTTTGCAAAATAGTCAGGCTGAATCCCAGTTTGTTGTTTTTATAAAAAAACAACTATTTATTAGTGGGGAATGTATGGCATTGTTTGCCGAGGGGTAAGGCAGGGAAGACTATAGTTTCGGATCACGCCACTGATCCTCATCAGTTCCCTTAGTTTTTTGTTGGGATATTCTCCCCAGAAGCTATTGCTTCTATACAAAAAACCTTTCATACCCAAATGTCTCATGTAACAAAGCGAAGTACTTAGCTGACCAACGACATAAACTGCATGAGAATTTCGCTGGAGCCTCACTTCGAGGTTAACAAGGCATTTACAAACAATACCACACCTTTCCCACTGTTGTGTGTTGTCACATAGCGACAAATGCACACAACGACTTTGTTGGTGTTGCTAGTGTACAGCAACAAACCAAACAGTTTAACCGTGCCTGCGTCTACAACTTCAGTAGTGTTGGCGGTTTATTTGGGATACCATTTGTATTTTGTTTTTGCAAAATAGTCAGAATTTGTACTAATGTGTATTAAATTTGATACAATTTAAATTGTGGGTGAACCGATAGAGTTGAATTCATGAAATTGGATTTAGGATCACTGTGAAGGTATAGGTATAGGGGTATGTAGGAAGTTTTGGAAATTCGTACTTCTGTGTACTAAATTTGGTACAATTTTAATTGTGGGTGAACCAATTAAGTTGGAATCCTGAAATTTGAATTTGGAATCATTGTGGGGGTGTAGGATCGGGGTATGCAGGAAGTTTTGTTAGATGGTTGAGGAGGGTACTTATGGAAATAATGTGTGCTAAATGGAAAATTTGGATTTGAGTGAACCTTTAGAGCTCGAATCATGAAATTTTTTACTAAATGGTACTCAAATTTAATTTATGGTCGATATTAATGTGTGGTTTGTTTTTTCTGACATATGCAGTTTTCTGTGAAAATACAATAATATGTTAATACATCTTTAAATATTTCCCATATTCGCTAACGCAGTTGCGGGCATATGGTAGTAGATAAATAAAATCAATCCCTGAGGCAAAAAAATCAGAAAAAAATAGGTAAAATTGTCGTTAAGTTTGAAGTTTGATCTTTATATACCCTCTATAATGTGTTGTGCATTCAAAATTCCTTAATTCGGTCGGGACTCTTATATCGACTGTACAACCATTATATTTGATTACGGCAGCGCACCTACGAAGCATTAAATCTATAAGATACTCAATTGAATCCTTGGGTTTACTATTAGAGTAACATCGGGTAATGTGGACCACCATTTTTTTTTTTTTTTTTGATATTGTGGGCGTAACAACAGTAAAAAATAAAAACAAATTGGTTTCACAACATAGTAGATTTGTTGGCTAAAGATATTCCAAGTCCAACATTATATATATATTTGTCTATAAAATTTTTATTGCGCTATATTTCAAAAAACTCTAAACTTCAAATAAAAATAACTTGGTGCGTAATGTGGACCAGTATGTGTAGGCAATGAGGATCAGTAAGTTAAAGGTAGGTTGTGATAAATTTCAATTTATTGCACTCTTGGGTAACAATGAATGCAAAAATATATGGGTTCATGTTTTGGAATAGCCCCCGGTTTTTTGAAGGTCCTTTCTTCATTATCCAACCGATGCACCTGCAATTTCGCATATCGAGTTATCAGAGGATAGAATAACTCTTCACATATTAAATGCGTCCATTTTTCGAACTCGTCTTCGTGAAAAGGTCCCACTTTTTATAATGGTCCACATTACCCGACATTGAATATATTTATTTAAAAGAAAAATATCGGCTTCAAAAATGAATAAAAATTAAAAATCACCGATTGCAATTGCAGCTAAACGTATTTTTTTTTTTTTTTTTTTGTTAAAGAAAACAAGAAAACCACATAACTTCTTTATATTCACGAAAAACAAAGTGTTCAACTATTTTGAAAAAACGTTCGGCTATTGTGCTAAAAAAATGCTCAAAACACACTATTAAAATCAGAGCTAAATTTTCTACTACTACATTTTCAACATTGCAATTATTTATTAAAAACCAAGTTTTATGTTTGTTTTCACTAATTAGGAAAACATTTGTCAAGGCGTCATTGACATATTTCAAGCACTTTCTTAGATAAGGGGGTGGTCCACAAGAGTGTATGTCTGTTTTTTGTCATACTTTTTTTTGGCAATATTGCCAATTTTTTAACATAGCTGAAGCCGAGGTTCACACTTTTATAACTGGGGAATTACTTAAGTATATGAAAAAATGGAATAGTTCTCGGTTAATTGATCTGTCGTTGCGAACTTTGGGTGGAAGCTGTGTCTACTTTAATGTAAAAAATGTGCAAAAACAGGTTGAAGCAAACCAGTTTTTTTATGTTCTCTATCGATTTGTGACTAAGCCACTCGTGTCAAAGTAAAAATGAGGACTACGTCTCTTATGTACCATTTTTCAAAATTTTATCTGCATCTACCTTTCAATGATGCTGACATTTTGAAGCTCGATTTTTAGTGTTTTTTTGGATTTTACTTTTAGTTTCAGTGCCCAATCACGAATTTCTGAAAATCGATTATATGATTATTGAAGTCGCGAATCTGAGTTATTAAAGGCATATGGACTTTTCGGAAATTATTCGCGTTTTACGAGTTTTTGGGTA